AAATTAAATATATTTATAATTTAAAGTAATATTGATATGTAGATTTAAATTATTGATATATGCAATAGTTGTTTTTAAATACTAATATAGTTTTATTTACAGGTTAGATGTATTGACAGCTTATGAAGAACTTATGGATGAAAGAATAGATATTAACAGAAATCATAAAGGAGGCAGAGTTTTATGATGGTGGTGGAATTAGAGGATTGGTGTTGATATCTGTTTACTCATATAGAAACAATTAAAATCTATTATTCATTGTTTTGATTGGTTAGCTGGTACAAGTACTGGTGGAATTTAGCTTGGGACTTGTATGGTAATTTGCATTGTAAAATTATTTTAGTTTATAAACTATTTGTTTTGTTGATAATGCAAAGTTAAAATATGATGCACAAACAATTTAATTATCAGCATAAAATGAGGGAAAACAAATAATGAATTTACTAAAAACCTCATGAATAAGAATTTTGTTTTATCATCATAAAAATATTTGCTTGTTTGCTTCAAAATATTACACCTATTATTAAACAATAAAATAATATGTATACTTTATTCAGGATGAATAGGATAAACCACTTGTTATTATTTATGTTAAATTTAAAGGAATACTCAATGTTCACTATGTAATAATACTAATGCCATTATTTATACGTTATATTTAGGTAAATCGTTGCACGAGTGTTTGTGCTTGTATTTTAGACTTAAACAGCTTGTATTTCAAGGTAGTAAACCTTATCAAAGCGAGGTATTGGAAAATATGTTACAAGAAACATTAGGTGCCAATACCTATATGAGTGATATAAAACATCCAAAGTAAGTGATTTTGTTACTAAATATATATTTAATATTTTAATATTAAAAACATCTGGTAATTTATTTTAGATTAAAAATATAATTATTTATTGGATCAGCAATACGTAACTGAACGTACTGTTGCTTATGCACTCGCCCAGGTACAGCGTGCCCAACCGGAACTCCTCGAAAATCAGCTGAAAACACACGACGGCGGCGTTAGTGTTGTATATATAGGTACTAATAATAATCGTTATTGTGTCTATCCCAATCGCATATTATTGCTCACTCGCGCGTGGTTTATTTATTATTTTAATTTTTTTTTTTCCGATAAAACGGACTAGCCCGGTGGTTAGGTGTAATATTATTATCGTGTCTCGTGTATATTAACCAATCGCGATAAAATTTACGGTCGTGTGACAGAAAAATGCGTTTGTATATAATTATAATACATAAATGGGGTGATCCGTTTAACTATCGTGACGCACGCTTTTGTTGACATTTCTTTTACATAATTCTATACGTATAGCAAATAATATAGTTAAGAAACGTTGTTTTTTTAAACTATATTTTCGAGTTGTTTATTATTCTCTTGTAAATTTTTAAACTTCATATTCCGAACCATGACGTGTATTTTTCGGAGTGTTTCGGCTTGTAAACATAAAATTTCGATCGAGCTTTTTATAAATTACTGTTAACGTTTGTAAGTATAGATCAGTGAAATGTCAAACCAAAGTTTTGCGGCGTATCAAAGGGCGCCAATATGAGGGGAGGAAAGGGAGAGACATGTCCCCCCTGGAAAATTTTGAAAATTTTGAAAAATTGTTTACACAAGATCTACAATGAGTGAAGATAGACTTGGTTATTCATGATAAGCGTATTTAGGGAAAAAATTGATGGTAAAACGAATAAATACATAAGACAATTAATAAATATATTTGGTGTTAAAAAAAGAAATTTACAATTTTTATTTGTAAATTAATATTTAAATAAATTTATGTTATTAATCAAATGAAAATTCAATATATAACTTTTATGGTTAATTGGTTAAATAATTATTATTTCATAATTTTCCAGTTTGATATAATATAAAATTGAATAGTATAATGTTAAATTGTAAATCCTTTCTATCGTGGATATAATTAAAATTTTGTACCCCCTTAAGAATTGTTCTATGGACGTCCGTGGGCGTATCCCATAATCCCACGTACCGCTGTTTTTATCTAAACTTTAAATATTTATTTCATAATCTATACTTGATCAAAATTCTATTTTTATTCATCGAGAAACTCAATAAAACAGATGATACAATGAAAAAAGCGACAGAAATTATTGTGGATTGTAGAGACCTCCCATTGGAGGAACTACGACACGAATATAAATTAAGGGAGCAAGTCACCATACCACTGTTGTTTTAATCTTTTAGCGGATTTACCAGGGATAATGAAAGAAGAAGGTTCAAAGATTAGTGGTGAGCGAGACCGCGTTTTTTGTTAATTAAGGATATTCTGAGGTCACTGTGAAGGGTGTGGTTAGTGACATTATAGAAGGGGCTTTGGAAACTAAACAGAGTACTTTAGATTGGAACCGTTGGATACTTTGGCAGGACGTAAAAAACCGTATTTTATCGTTAAAAAAGGTAGTTTAAAATAATAACGATAAAAAATTTGTATTTAACGATTTAAAATTGTCTATAAAAACGTATTACCCGATATAAATGTATATATATAAATTAATAGCATAATATTGAATAATCATGATAAATTATGCAAGTGGTATAATTTGTAATGCATATAAAGTAGGCATTAATAATCAATACATAGCGTACGTGTATTACCTAAAATAGGGAGAGCCTAGATCAAAGGCAGAGACTAGGTACTATAGTTGTTTTTACTGATTTGCATAAATAAAAGGTCATCACGCCACTATATTATGTCATCGATATAGGACCCACGTAAATATACGGGTAGAGGCGTAGAGCGCCAAGCCATAGTCAGAAGGTAATCACAGTACTAAACTGTCTATTAACCGTCACCTTTTGTAAGAGACTATTGCTCGTCGTGGACTTTGTTATCACACAACTACAACGCTGCAAATACTTGGCCACGCCCAGTGGCCAGTACTACGGTGAATATATAGTGACTTTCATATAGCAGCGAGTTATTATTATGTTTATTTATTATTTTCACGTGTTAATAAAATATTGTAACTTATTCATACTTTAACAATTAATACAAGTGTTCTGTTCTACGTATCTTCTCACGACTAGGTACCTAAAACCAACTAGAAACGTGCTACATCGTTATAAATAATTAATGTGGTAACGATAGCAGTGTCCCGCACAGTGATCACTACAATACTCATACCCGAATACCCGATACAAACATTTAGAATTGAAGCAACTGGATTACCATTATCCCTCCCAAGTAATACTTAATATTACTGTTGCGTCGTATTACATATTTAAAAAAAATCATAAATTGTATAGCTGAATTATACGACGAAAATGATATGATGCTGTGGCTATAAAAATATCTAAATAGGTATTGAAACTCCAATCGTCAGAGGACAACTTGATTTATATCAAATCAAATTTTGATTACCCATCACTGGCGATTAAACGTCCCCGAGAATAAAGCGTTTTACCGAGTGAAGGACTTACAATACCTAGTCGAATACATCGCAGAAAGATTTGTGAGATTAAAAATACTTCATGGGGACATTAAATTTAAATTCAAAATTTTTTTGGTTTAAAACATCGAATGCAATGTATAATTTGTAAAATTTTCCAAGTCTTAAGTGGCAAAGAAAATGATCTATCTAGATCTACTTGAAGATATGACTGTAAACGATGTATCATACTTTAAATATGCACCCCTAATATCAGTAGATGAAGAAAAATCCTTTTCTACGCTTAAAAACTTACTGGTAGAAAAGCGCCGGTATTATAAATTGAAAAATATAACACAATGGTATACTTTTATAATACGGTGTAATTTTGAAAGTAAATATAATATTCATAAATCATAAATCATAATATTCTAGTAAAATATCCCAAAATGAAGTATATTATGTTTAATTTTTAATATTTTCATCTAAGGTATTGAATAAGGGCGTAAAGAAATTAGACAAAATAATGACATCGATTAAGATTGATTTCATAGATTAAGCGTTATAAAATATATAAAAACTCAAATAAATTAAATTATACAATTATTATTTAAAAATATCTTTATGATCTACACATTATATTTTGCAATGCGCATAATTTAAAATTGTTAATATAAATAAACGCATGTTCCTGTAATTTCAGTGCATATTTTACTAATGTATAGTGCATGAATGCATGTTTATTTATATGCCTTATAGTCCATGAACTTACGAACCTTGTGCTTAGTATATCCTGGCCGTCTATATCGTATAATTTGGGTATGGGTTCAGTGGGTTCACGTACACTTTGACCCTTTAAAAATTTAAAGATAAAATTACATTTTAAACGGTTCGCGTACAAAATCATCGTGTTCGTAAGTGATTAAATATTGAGTTGGTATTACCTAATTTTTTCAGTTATGCCTGAAGTAGATAATATTATTTGAGTATTTACATCCAAAGATACAGACAGTCTTAGCCCATCAGAAGGTATTATTTTAAAAACTAGAACTAAATTTTATTTGAATTATATTTTAAAAAGTTAAAATACGATTCGATTTTTAGTTAAACATTGATAACAAATAATAACATTATAATATAATATATTATTATAAAGGTTCCCATTTATATCATTACTATTTTTGTTTTAAATACAAATTAAAAAGTAAAATAACATATAACTAAAGCGCTTACAGGATTTGTTTGTTTTCGTGTTTTCTATTATTAATCATTTCACCGTTTTTATATAAATTCATACACGTGTTTTTTATTCTGTAAGTAATTTTGTTTAAGCTTTTAAGTAGTTAAAATATTTTTTCATTAATGAATACCGCATTACCACATAGATTTGATCGTAAATCCATAATTGATAAATTATTGTTATGCGGCCAACGAAAAATACATCAAAGCTAATCAAATGCCTATTATTTATTTTATCAGATTAAAAAAAGCCTTTTTTTATTTTAATTCATGCATGCATTTTTTAACTAGTACTTAGCCTTGCTCATATTTTTGCATAATTTTATCATTATTACATTATCGGATACCGTAGACTTAACAATAAAAATGAATAGTTATACTGTTATGGTCATTGAAAAATACATTGTTTTATTATTCGTTCGGCGTATGAAATATGTTGCAGTTAATTCAATTTTTGGCATTATTCGATAGGTATACTATTATCA